TTTTTAGTAAAGACAGGGTTTCACCATGTTAGCCAGGATGGTCTCGATCTCTTGACCTCATGATCCACCCGCCTCAGCCTCCCTGTCAGAAGGGTGGAACAAGGCTCATTGATCTCCTGACCAGATCGTCTCTCCCTCTGAGCTCTTGTAACCCTTCCTGCCTCTTGTCTTTTCAGATCAAGAAGTGATAAATGGGGCTGCTACCTGGAGAGACCATGTAACTGCACTATCTTAGGTAGTTTCATAAAATCACAACTAGATAGTTTCTTTGTAAATAAACTCTCTTTGGTTTATCTTGGGGTATATACTATCATTTTAAATTTTTTGTTGTGTTGACCTTCCTAACTGAATTGTAGACACTCTCCTCTCTACATTAGGGCACCATCCTTTGTTCATCAGTTTTCGTGGGAACATTTCCCTCAGCTTGCTGCTTTCTAGTTTTGTTTTTATATGGCTTTTGTATCGATTTACTTGAGTGAGGTCTGCTCACTCAAGACTCAGGAGTGGAGTCTTGAGTGAGCAGACCTCAGGACTCAAGGTCACTCAAATGTGATCTTGAGTTTGAAAACTACGTGGCAACTGCCCCCTCTCTTCTCTTTGGAGTGGAGTGAAATTATGGCCCAAATATCAGCTTCCCCTCCATAAAAGGTTACATTCCTCTCTAAGTATTTGGAAAGATTCTGCTTGTGTTCCAGAGATGCCTAACGAGAGCTGTTCTTCAATTTCATGTGTGTCTTCCTCTGTCCCCTCTGCTGCAGAGCTCTGGTTATCTCATAGCTGCTACCTGCCCAGAGTTCCTAGGCATAATCCTCCCCCGCAGAGGGCCCTTCAACTGGGCACCAGTTGAGCTGAGTCCGGGGAAAACCACACTTTGTTTATTATATGCTCCCTTCATTTTCCATAATACCATCACCCACTTTGAGGGGGTAGGGAGATGGTGGATTGCCATTGAGTTGAAGGGAATTATAACAAAGGGTCGTGAGGGAAAGGGACTAAAACTGATGGTAAATGTGATTTTTCCAGAAGGCACTCAGGAAGTTAAATTATTTCATAGGAAGTTCTTCATGGGTGTGCCATGTTCGCTAAGATCACTCTCTATCCTTTGATCTTTCTTCCAAACTTCTTCTAACCACACCTCTCAAAGAAACTCTGCTACTTGTCCACAAGGGTTAGCCTTGTCTCAAAGTTACTTCCCTAACCGCAGCAGCACCTTTTCCTTAGGATGTTGAAGGGCAGAGGAGCTCTTCCTGCACACACTGGTGGAGTGAACAATTGTGTTTGCAAGTCCCCCAGAGCTATGTGGGGAGAAGGTTCAATACTTCAAACCCTACAGAGGAGTCCGGAGTGGACAGCCTTGGTCCAGTCCCCTTTGAAGTATTCTGACCCACATAAGCTATAGACTCCCCCATCTTCATGTTACTATTACTGAGTGTGTTAATATCTTTCCCTAATCTCATGTTTTCAGACTGTGTCCCCTCAGGCCTCACGAAATGAGAAATGGACCCCATCCACATGATCACTGTCTGAACCACCCTGCAGCCACCTCTTGTGAAATGATGGGATGCTGTTTTTAACTAAAGACTACCCTTGCCCTTAGTGTGGGGAAAAATGAGAGAGAAAGTGTAGGTTATGTATCTTTTGGAAGAGGAGAAGGGGAGCCAAAAGGGAGAGGCGCATTTTACTTTTTCACCCAAAAGAAAAACGGGACCAACAAGTCAGACATCAGAGTGGGACAGGACACTGGGAAGATGCAAGCTCTGTGTCCTTGGAAGTGCATGATTAGAAGAGTATCATAGAAAGGTTGATATAGAAAGGATTCCTGTCTTTTAAGAGAAAACTCAATGTCTTTCTCTTTACCTGGCCTTTAAGTCAGTCTGTACTATTTAAGAATACAAGTATGAAGTTCAAGTTGGATTTAGCTGACTTGTGAGGGAGGGAAAAACGATAAAGATAAGAGGGTTAGGGATCTGGAAGTGAGAAAGACACAAAACAGGCTATACCACAATGGCTTTTTTTTTTTTTCTTCAGCTGACAGCAGAAGAAGTGATTTATTGTATGGTTGTTACACTTGGCCACAAGTAAACACAGAAATAGTCCAGAATGTCACAGGTCTAGGGCAAAAGAACAACATGGGCAGTTCTGGTTATGAGCAAGGTGGGTCTCAGAGGTGATTGGCGATCAGATGGCAATGAAGTTCTAGGTCCACTGAAACAAGCTCTAGAAAGTAGCATGCAGTCTCACAACTTGTACCAGCATCCCCAGCATCTGGCATTCCATATTTCTGCTCCTGTGGCCTCCACGGTGCAACAAGCTAGTGGTTTACTTGGACCTCTGCCTCATCTTTCTTCTTTTGTGCTTTAGCCTGAGCATTCGCTTCTTCCTCCACTTGGCTCTCATGGTGCAGAGGTTGCTATGGGGAAAGAGAGAAAGGCTACAGTTAGTTTGCTGTGATAATGGTAAGTGCAGAGGTCAGATGTCAATCATGCCACACTGTTGGAGAAGCTGTCGTTATGGGGGTGTGTGTGTGTGTGTGTGTGTGTGTGTGTGTGTTGCGCGTATATGTTGCCTAAGACGGATGTTAGTAGGTGGGGCTGGGTAAAAAGACTATTGAGAGATGATTAGCTAGAGAGAAGGAAAGGGCCCTGTTGTCAGAGCAAGGGCCAAAGAATAAGCCCCCAAACAAGCTGGGGAAGCCATGGGTGTGTAGAATCTGTGAACACTCTGGGAAGGGAGACTGACTGCCAGCGACGTGGGCACTCAGGCCCAGAGAACAGAGGAAAGTCCAGAGGGGAGTTGCTCCATAAAAGGCTATAAAAATGACCTCACCAAGGAGGACGACATTTATCACAGGGACTGGAAAGAGACAGTGCATTTTGTAGAATCAGCTTTATTAAGGTTTAATTTATATCCAATAAAAGTCACAGGAGGGGAAGAGGGAATGGGGAATTATTACTTAATGGGCACACAGCTTCTGTTTGGGATGATAAAAGAGTCATGGAAATAGAGAGTGGTTACACAACATTATAAATGTCATTAATACAACTGAACTACATACTTCATGGCTAAAATGGCAAATTTTATGCTATATATATTTTACCACGATAAAAAGTCACCAAATAATCAAAACATAGAAAATATTCATTACCCTCAAAAGTTTCCCTGTGCCACTTAGCAGTCAACACTTTCCCCATGCCTGGCAGACACCAATCTACCTTTTGTCATTGTAATTCTGCTTTTTCTAGAATTTCATATAAATGTAATCATAAAGTATGTAGCTCTTTCTGTCTGGCCTCTTCCACTGAACATAATTCATCCATTCATGCTGTTGCGTGAATCTGAAGTTTGTTTTTTTTTAATTGTTAAGTGGTATTTCATTGTATGGATGTACCACTGTTTGTTTATCCATTTCCAGAAAATAGACATTTGATTTGGGTTACTAAGTTTTTGTTTTTGTTTTGTTTTTTTTTCTGAGATGGAGTCTTGCTTTGTCACCAGGCTGGAGTGCAATGGCACGATCTCAGCTCACTGCAACTTCCACCTACCGGGTTCAAGCTATTCTCCTGCCTCAGCCTCCCGAGTAGCTGGGATTATACGCACCCACCACTACACCCGGCTAATTTTTGTACTTTTGGTAGAGACGGGGTTTCACCATGTTAGTTAAGCTAGTCTTGAACTCCTGACTTTAAGTGATCCACCGCCTTGGCCTCCCAAAGTGCTGGGATTACAGGTGTAAACCACTGCACCCAGCCTACTAAGTTTTTTTTTAAAAGCCAGCCTGGATTAAATGCCAGGCTGTCAAGGAGGGAGATCTTACTCTTACACAAGGATGAGGTACAAATGCTGGCTACAGACGGATATGGATAAGGGCCCATAGACTAGCCCTATGTGTTTTCTTATGACAACCTAACATCTTGAACCATGGTCTGCAGAGAACCTCCGGATCTCAGATTTTCCTGTTCACAGTTCTCAGATTTTATTCTGTGAGCCATGCCCATGTGGGGAGCACTGACTGAGAACCTAAGTTGAAAGTCTCCATGAACACTGTGGAGCAGCAAAGACATGACATTCTCCCTTTGTGCCTTGCTTTCTACGTAACTTCCATGGCAGTTGCATGGGGATCCAAGATGGGCCAACAGAAGCTTCCCATAACATACCATATTACAATATATTTAACATAATATAATTTATTATACACTGTATCATATAATTTAATATAAAATATATAGTCATATCACTTGCCTGCAAACCTGATGCTCTTATTCTTGCATAAGAAAAAAAAATGGGCTGGGTACAATGGCTCACACCTGTAATCCCAACACTTTGGGAGGCTGAGGTGGGCAGATCACAAGGTCAGGAGGTCGAGACAATCCTGGACAACATGCTGAAACCCCACCTCTACTAAAAATACAAAAATTAGCTGGGTGTGGTGGCACGTGCCTGTAGTCCCAGCTACGAAGGAGACTGAGGCAGGAGAATCGCTTGAACCTGGGAGGTGGAGGTTGCAGTGAACTGAGATCGCATCACTGTACTTCAGCCTGGTGACGGAGTGAGACTCCATCTCACAAAGGCAAAAAAAATCATGGCTGGGAGTAGTGGCTCACGCCTGTAATCCCAGCACTTTGGGAGGCCAAGGTGGACAGATCATGAGGTCAGGAGTTTAAGACCATCCTGGCCAACATGGTGAAATCCCATCTCTACTAGAAATACAAAAATTAGCTGAGGGTGGTGGTGCGTGCCTGTAATCCCAGCTACTTGGGAGGCTGAGGCAGGAGAATAGCTTGAATCCAGGAGGTGGAGGTTGCAGTGAGTCGAGATTGTGCCACTGCACTCAAGCCTAGGACAGAGTGAGACTCTGTCTCAAAAAAAAAAAAAAAGTATATGTTTAGAGTTATCATGTATTCAAAATGAACCTTTTCCTTTTCCTTCCTCCATAAAGGACTCTCTCCCCAGGCTTTGGTGCCTCACCTTGCCTTTAGGAGTCTGGTATCTGGTTTTAGAATTTTGTTGACCCACCTCACTGTTTTTTTTTTTTGTTTTTTTTTTATGGCAGCTACTCCCTCCTCCTTGTCTTCATCAG